TTCAATTTTTGACAGATGACATTTTGTCACCGCGTGGTTTTGTGTTGTGAAATTTTCTTCCGGAGTATTTTACGTAAAAAGTTAATAATTATTTAGTAATAGCATCTGAAATTATCCGCAATTTTTATAAAAGTGTTATGTGGTAAAATTGATATATTACAGGTAAAAAATAATAGTTACCATTTTTCACCACATTTCCACATTTCTCTGCCAAACCAACTGTTGTACCAGGACCATTAGTCTTGTACAAGGCAGAAATAGAAGTTAATTTGTTTATACGGTAAGTACAATTGATTTTATCACAAAAAAAATCTGTAGGCATCAATATATAAAAGTCGTCTCGAAACGGTTAATTCTTCAGATAGTGACTTTCCTTTGAATCTCAAAATACATAAGAATCATTCAATGCATACAAATCTTGCGTTAATTTTGGGACACCTTGTGTATAGTAAATGATTCTGCGATGAAACCATTGGAGATAAAGTAGCTGCTGAGTCCATATTAAGAGAGGTAAAAGGTGAGAGCACTTGATAGCTTAATTCAGGTATCAAGAAAGAAGATTACAGTGAAAGCTTTTCCGCGAAATCTGCTCTGAGATTACATTTTTGGGAAACGTGAACCTTGAGCGTTTGAGCGTATCGCGCAAAGGATGGGGAGGACACTTCGAGAGGCTATTCATTAAACTGATTAATATGACTTTACGCCTCCTGGGTATTTTTTAAATTCTAGAGAAGGAAAAACGATATAATTTTCACTTTTTGGTACTATCGGTTCTTTCCCGCGCCACCAATTTTACCCCTAGCCTCTTGGTGGTCCAACTGTTATATAACTACTGCCTATCGGCAATAGCTATTCGAAAAGCTACAAGATAATTTTCAGCATATTTCCATGGCTGAAACAATTGGCCAAAATAAGAACTCGTGTGTATAGCTTAGCTTGACGGGCTGGAATTAAGACACAGATAAAACTTTAATTATTGAGTCATGTTTTGGCTGAGATACCGCTAAATATGTATCAAAATGGGGGTCGAAAGTTACCTCAAATGTATCGAAGCATGCAAAATTTCGTGAGCCGGTCACTTGAACGATGTAGTGTTTTCTGGGCAACTTATCGAACTTTTATTAATCCCTCGTGTAAGGTTCAATTTTTAATTGCATTTCATTTCCGTTTATTTTCGATAAAGCGAAGTGCATAAGCTTATATATCAAAAGAGCTTCAAGGTAATGAACAGTTCATCATTCTTTTTGGTTTTCTGGGCTATGTTACTATTCTTTTACTCTTAGATTATCCATAAATAGACTGTCTATGGCATATAATAAGCAATGCAAGGGAGATACAATTCTAATGCCAATCCGATTTTGCTGCTAGAATCTCAGAGAATAGCGCAGTAATCAAGGTATAGTGAACAAAATATATGACATAATGCCGCGCTTGATCTGGAAAAGGATGGGGTTCATGGCGCATCTAGCGCCAGTTGGTCTTTCAACCTGATGGGCCCATAATTGCTGATGGAAACTATTGCGCTGAGTTAAATCTCAGATTACCCTTCCAGCTTCTAGATTGCAACAGTTTCTCCTAGGCGCTAGTCTTCGAGGTAAAGAAATCCGGTTAGCTTGTTATAGGAAACCACTTTGGAAAACACCAACTTCAAAGTTGATAGCCATATTGTATTACGTAGTACCTAGAAGCAGAGAGGAAGTACATAAGATGGCTGCAAAAACGAAGCGTCCCATGTACGGGCTTACGAGACCATTGTTCCAGAAATCACAATTTTTAAACAACTTCTAACAACTATGTATTTTTCATTAAAATAATAAAACAAGTGAAATTGTTTCGGGCTTCCTTAGGTAGCACTTGTTTATGAGAAAAAGTATTTTTTGTCAACAAAGTAGAAATTAATTTTAATTAAATTAATTTTTTGTGCAAAACTGCATTCTGTACAAGTATGGCGATGAACGTCATATTTCGCTTGTTTGCATGTTTGTAAATCTCTATGTGCATGTGTGTTAGTGTGAGTGAACATTTGAGTGTAAAAACGCATTCATCACCGTATCCTTATGGCAGCAATTATGGTGACACTTATATGCGTGTTGTTGCAACACTACAAACACACAGCAACAATAAAATGAAACGTTTGTCATTGTCAACGTGCAAGCATGTTGTATGTGTGTATGTATGTCTGCATGTATGTGTCTAGGTAAGGCAACGTTGCATTATTTATGCCATGATATGAAGATGTATTGTACATACCTATATGCATATGTTCATATAAACATACTTACTAGCACAAATTTGGCCAAATGTGTATGGCACATATATTCGTATGTGTATCCATGCATACATTTACACATGTAAATACATATATGAGTTCAACATGCAAATATACGGCAACCTTTGTATATTTCTTTATTGCACTTTTGCATTCGCTTGTCGGAATTTTCGCAAACATATTCAAAAAGAAACAGCGCAGCGAAAAAAAAAAACAAAATCAGCAACAACGGTAAATCAACCAAATTAAATCTGTCGTGTGCCACCGAGCGACGGAGAGTCGTTTGCGTAAATCGCGTTAAAAAATATGATTTTTCCGCTTGAATTTATGCCATTTGGCGCATTTGCCATTTCTAGATTACACATGCGGGTGCTTCTATATGTGTACATACACACATAAGTTAGGTTTTTGAATTTGAAAATTTTTCACTTTACAATATTTGAAAGGAAAAAAATGTAAAATGTTACCTCAATGAAAATTATTTTAGAATTTCATATATCATTATATTTAGCAGGAGTACATCATCAGCAATCAGGGTTGCAATTTAAACTTATTGTGCTTTAATAAATTTGGTGAAATAAATTCAGTAATAGAATAACTCAACCAAATAATATTGTTAACCTTAATTTTAAAACAATTAATTCAACAGTTCATTTAACAGCACATTTCCCTTTTAACGTTTTACATTATGTTAATGATTTAACTGTGACGACAGCTTATAATTTCGGCTGTAAACGAATAGAAATTTCCTTTGATAACTACTTTAGCGTAAATATTTCCAAATGTTTTAATTTATCGATTAACATGAAATTTATCGTTGCGATGCAGCCTTGAACTTATAACTGAAGGTCTTATGGTAAGGCATTGCATCTCGAGCATCTCGACTCATTCAACCAAAGCAGCAGTGGTGGGATTCTCTATTGTATTACAACGATTATCGGATATCAAAATAATACTTCGAATAATTTTAACGGTTTTAATAATCGCTGTACTTATTTTAACGATATTCGCAATCGCTCGATCAGCTGTTGTCGTAAACTACTCGGCAAATCGCTAACTAAGCGACGAATAGATGTTGGAGCCATGGAAAAAATATTTATTAGTTTTAGTGCTAAATTCAGTAAATATTACCTAATCGATTTCAAAAGATATAGAAAACAATCAAAAAATGTTTTTTTCTTATCCCAAGATAAGGAAGTATCGTTTTCGTCCTAATTGCATAGAAACTTCTTTCGGGAAGTTGAAGATTTTTTCCACTTGAATGCAACCAAGTTTCAGTTGAACAAATCATTTCTCAACTCGATAGTCCACTAAAGGGCAGAAGAATGACAGCAAAAGCTATAGAGACCAAGGTTATATTATAACTTTTAAGTGTTTTTTTAGTGATAGCTCCATTAAAATGCTTAAAGGTTCTAACCGCCTCGCGATTCTTCGCTGCTGGATTCCATTACCATCGCATTGGAAAGCAATGGGGAATATCTTGAGTATGGACAACTATAAACCGTGGTATCCCACGTATAATAGACGCAATCAACCGTTTGATGTTTTCTGCGAGAATTAAATTTCTCATGAATCAAATAGATCTAGAAGCTGCAAGAGAATTTTTGCCTCATTATCGTCCCCATTTGTTGGACGCAGTACTTGGGGCTATCGATTACACTCGTGTGACAATCACGAGTCACTAAAATTTTGAAGAAGCAATGACGCTAAGTCAACCACCAAGGATACCGTTGTACTTTATTAATTTTCTACGAGAAATATTGTCTGCTATTTATTACCAGACATATTTTTTTCTATTCATGGAGGGTCTAATTGCGGTCGCCCCTCGGAAGGGAACGTTAACATTTCCGAATGTATTTCTTGCATGAAATAAAAAGCTCCTCATGAATGTCTATCGGTTTTTCTTAAGCGGCTTAATATATACCGTAGGTCTCCTCACTTTCTGGGAAAAAATCGAAGCGCAAAACAACAAATTGGATGAAAAATCTGGCCAAAAATCACTTCAATGGTAGCAAGCAGTCATTAACATTAATTAAATAAATACAATTTTAACCCAAAATTACTCTTTACGGTAAAACTTTGAAAAAGCTCGACTAAACGATGACAGCATCTGATGATTCGTCGCCAGAAGTTTTCGAAACTGGAGAGGTTTCTGGCTTTACTGGATGTCTTCTGACGTGAAAAAGTAACTACTGGCGTTCTGTTGCTTACTCGGCTATAATTGTGTAAGGGGCCAATAAAGAGGGATACGGCTGTGAGTCCTTGTCTTTCTCTGCTCAATCAACTGAGAGTGCATTTTTAGTCAAGTAACCGTAAAAATCCAAGTGTTTCTGTGTGTTTGCCTTGGAAAAAGAAATTGTTTAACAAGTACGAAGATCCATTTGAGACGATGGGTATACTTTGAGGACCAGCAGGACTTAGTTAAATTATAAATTATTAACAAATTATTTTTGATTATGATAAAGCAGACCTAATTAGTAGCATATTCTTCGGGTCACTCTATGAATGAAATGCCGTTAATTTATGTGTAAAAAATTAAATTTCTTAATATTTTTTTAAATATTAACAAAAAAGCAACTAAAACTCCTATAAAAGCCAAAGTATGAGGTGAGTCGTCTTCATATTAGTCCGAGTATTTCTCATGAGTGCACATGAATTTAATTCCTTTATTTAAAATATTTCTATATAATAAAAAATACGCTTAAACTGAAACAAATCATTAATTGGGAAAATGGCCGAAAAAGATAATTCAAATTTGGGTGAAAAACTGGAGCCGAAAGAAGAACAAAAGTCGCAATCGACATCAGTTTCACCGCAAATCTCGCCTGGGAGCTCACCTATATCGACTTTAGAACAAAAGCGTAGAAAAGAAACAGATGCACGTACAATATTTATAAGCAACGTATCTTCTAGCGCCTCACCGGAGGATTTGACCACGTATTTTAGCGATTGTGGCAAGGTAAATCATGTCACCATGTTATGCAACAAGGTTGATGGTCATGCTAAAGGTTTGGCTTATATTGAGTTCAGTTCAAAGGAGGCTGTACCAAAGGCGTTAGCTTTGAATGGTCAGCTTTTTAGGGAACGGGAACTAAGGATTTCAATGAAACGCGCTAGTATTCCTGGCATGCAGATGTCAGAACATTTTCCACGTGGTAGTTTCCATGGTTATGGACAATTTCGTGAGAGAGGTCGCCGCTCATGCTCACCACACGGCAGCCCCCGCGTTAGTGGCTCAAAGAGTACTGAGGGGTTTTTGGGTTAAGTTCAATGTGAAAACTTCACATAAAGGGGACCATCTCGTAGGTTTTAATACTTGGTGGAATCTCTCTCTCTCTCTTTATAAACAGAAAACAATTCCTTTTATTCGACATATATATATATTTTTTTTCCCAAAACTAGATTTTAAGAAATGTTAAGATATTGTTTTTGTTTTTTATTATTAATTTAATTATTCCCTTTTTATTTAAAATGGCCGATGCTTTAAGCAATGTGCAATACTGAAATCAAAGAAAATTAAAGAAAGAAATTCTAAATATTTTGATTTCATTAAAATAAAACCACGCGTTGTTGACGTAATTTTTAATAGTCGCAGAGACATCTGTAGGTGAATTTTGTAACTTCTATATAGGACTTACTTTTTTCAAAGATACATTTAATTAATTTACCATTTATTCTTTTATAACTCATATATTTATAATTTGTTTACTTATAATTAGATTTTTCCTAACCAAAGTCACCGTATGGTATTCTGGATAACGGGACGTGTGGGCGTACAACCATTTTTGGTCTTGGTTTTTGTTGCCGCTCTTGCCATTTTTATTGCGTGTGAGGTTCTTTAAAGAAAAAGCAGTCTTGATTAAGTCTTCTGATTTGGCATGTAGAACAGTTTCACGATCGACATCGTAATCGTTTCCTGTTACGTTCGGTTTTCTGCGACTCGAACTCGATTTTCGGGTCCTAGGACCTGAAAAGTCAGCTTCGTCCACATGCAAGATGAGTGCCTTTCGTCCTCATTGCTTTTATCCAATGCTCTGGCGCTGTACTCCCATCTCTCGACAGGTTCCATCCGAAGCAGCACCCGACAGAATACTAAGCGGTGATAATGGTAGCATATCGAACATTCGTTATTTGTCTTCGTATTCGTTTTCGTAGTATAGCTTACTGCCCCTTGTTTGATTACGAGTGAGGTTGTATAAAGAAAAATCAGTTTTAATTGAGTCTTTGAAATTGACATTTAGATTAGTTTCATGATCTGCCACGTGATCATTTCGCATTCCATTCGGATTTCTGCCACTTGAACGCAAATTTCAACAAGATGATGTAAAATTCTAGACAGCGGGATACACAACAGATGTATTACGACTATTGTTCCCCGTGGTTTTGAATGGATCACGAGGTCACCATGACACAAGACTGTTTGTAGAGCACGGAAATTCAAGGTGCTCGGATATGCCAAGGATCGCAGCTCAACTCAGGGAAAACATTCGACGCCAAAAAAGGGCTCATTTTGTACTCAAGGCAAAACGTGACCATGTTTCATAAAATTGCTGTAAACATACATACATATTTATCCTTTATCCAAAATAAGTAATTTTCGAAATAAAAATTGAAAACTGTTATTTTATATTTTCCAGAAACAAATGCTTACACCTTAAACGTCCTACACTATAAAGCAAGTGTGCTTTGTCATGGCTCACGCAAGCTTAGCAGGTCAATTGGAGGTTATTGATTTTTTAAAAAAAATGAGCTTTGTTGACATAATTTTTTGTTGCATAATTATAGGCGTTCACAAGGTAAGCATTAGAAAATGAGTATTGAAATAAATGGCTATGAAGTACATTTCACTGGTCAGGAAGAGCATCTTACTGATATTGTAGATTCGGAAACACCCATTTAGTTTTACTTAAAAATAATTCCCTTTGAATTGATCCAAAATGTCATGAAACTACACTGCACATAAGGGAAAAGGATCCCTGCAATATTTTCTATGTATCCAAAGTCGCCATTCAGCAATTTATTTGGATAACATATACAAGAATGCGCTTAGTGAATCACCAAAGAGTGATAAAACACTTGAAAATGTAACTGGTACACTATTCATTAAAAACCATAAACTTTCGACCACTATTTTACGTCATTGTCATTCATAAAACAAAAAAAAAGGAATTCTTAGTTTAGAAACAATACGAGGAAATATGATGACAATAAACTGCCCACCGACAAGAATACGAGATGTGTTCAAAAAATATCGCGAATTTTGTGTTTTTCAAAAATTATTTATTTATTCATGAATATCTATTTTGTCCCCTTCCAATGTTCGAGCAATTCAAAAAATCATTTTCTCTTCAGTTTAGGGAACAAGAAAAAGTCACATGGGGCCAGATCTGAGGAATACGGTGGCTGCGGCATCATTAGTGTGTTGTTTTTGGCCAAAAAGTCGCGCACAAGCAACAATGTGTGAGCAGGGGCGTTATCGTGGTGCAAAAGCCAATTTTTGTTCTTCCACAAATCCGAGCGTTTCTGGCGGACTGCTTCGCGCAACCTGTGCATAACTTGCAGGTAATATTCATTATTGACACAAAATAAATCGAAATTCGATTATACGTAACCCACGAACATTCAAAATCCGCGATACTTTTTGAACACACATCGTATGTCTAATAAGAGATCTGGATACATCGTACAATATACTAGAAATGGGCGTGGAAGATACAACCGAAATCTAGTTGGACAAAAACGAGTTCGTTGTAAGCGTTTAGAATGTGTTAGAGCATCACAAACGGATTTTGAAAAATGTGGTGGGGTAGAGAAAAAAAATAGCAGATTTAAAGAATTTATCATGTTTAAAAATCAGGCAAGAAAAATTATTATTATGTAATTAGCTTAGACGTTCCCATACCTGGCCATAAAGAAGTTCGAATAGTGATCGCTCGCTTAAAAAAAAATATGGTTGGACAAAAACATGCCCGACGAGTGGATTTGAAGTGTACTCAATCCACAAAAAGGGCGATCCCACAGTCTGCACCAATTACCGGGGCACAAGAATCCTTAAATTCACCCATAAGGTCTGTCGAGCGCATAGTACGAAAGACTAAAGCTCATCGTCAACAAACTGATTGGAAATTTCTAGTGTAGCGCTAGATGAGGGTAATCAACCATTGGCCAGATATTCACCATGTGCTAGTCCTGGAACAGACCCGAGAAAAGAGGGAACACACACGAACCATCCATTCGTCGATTTCAAAGCCGCCTTCGAAAACACGAAAAGGAACAGCCTTTGCGCCGCTATGTCTGAATTGGTAGCCCCTCAAACTTATACGGCTGTGCAAGCTGACGCTAGACAACATCAGAAGCGCAGTCAGAATTGGGAAGGACCTCTCCAAGCTGTTCCGTACCAAACGAGGTTTCAGACAGGGTGACTCTTTGAGGTGTGATTTCTTCAATTTGATGCTGAAGGGAATAATAAGAGCTGCAGAGCTGAATACAGAAGGTACATTCTTCTATAAGAGTGTACAACTACTGGCGTACGCCGATGATATTGACATTATCAGCCTCAACAGCAGCGCCGTTAGTTCTGCTTTCTCCAGGCATGATAAAGAAGCGAAGGATATCGGTCTGGTAGTGAACGAGAACAATACGAAATACCTCCTGTTATCAAAGAAAAAGGCATAGCATTCACGACTAGGCTCCCACGTCAATGTTGGAAGTCATAACTTTGAAGTCGTAGATAATTTCGTCTATCCTGGAACCAGCATCAACAGCAATAAAAATGTCAGTCTAAATAGGCAATTTGCAAGTACTCTCTTGGCGAACGAAAACCAAACTATACAAGTCGCCCATCACACCCGTCCTACTGTGTGGTGCAGAGGCGTGGACGATGTCAACAGCTGATGAGTCGGCTTTGGGAGTATTCGAGAGAAAAGTTTTGCAAACGATTTATAGTCCTTTGCACATTCAAAAGGCGAATAGCGCAGACGATGGAACGATGAGCTGTGCGAGCTATGTGATGGTATTGACGGAGTTCAGCGCTACGTTGGCTAGGTTATGTGGTTCGGATGGGTGCGAATACTCCAGCTTTGAAAGTTTTCGATGCAGTACCCGCCAGTGGAAGCAAAGGAAGAGGAAAACCTCTACTTCGTTGGCAAGAAGAAAGCTTAAAGAAATTTTTACATATCCGTCTCAGGCCCATGTAGTTGTTTTTCGCCTAAATAAAAAATATTTTAAACTATGAAACACATGTCTGATTTTTCTCAAAATGTATGAAACGCTAGAGATTTTCTATTTTAACTTAGTTGAGTTATAAGGGGCTCAGAACTGGAATGTGAGTCTAAAATTATTTCGCAATTTTTTTTATTCCAAATTACCTACATACATATGTACCAGTGTATATGTATTTCTAAGGTTTCTTAATCACTTAATTCAGAGATTTTTCGTACCATCAAATATTTATTTAAAACTTGCAGCACAAAATAATTTAAAATTTTTTATTTCATTTTTTATAACTTTTTTTAATTTTTTTTTTTTTTTACTAAGCTATAAGCTGATAATGTTTAGCAGAATGCGCTTGCTGCATAATCATTTCACATAGAATTCGACCATTTATTTATTTGCGGAGATTCACTAAAAGTAAAGAGTCCCTTTTCAAAAGCGATTTGTTTTTGTAACATTTGCACGCACAACGCATAAATAAACACTGCCCAGGCGAAAGTGAGATGAAACTCCTCCGCAAATGCCACTGCAAACAAATACCGACCCGATATATATTAAAAATCGCTATCAAACAAAGGATACAACAGATAAAAATATAAAATATTAAGATACGCGGTGTGAAGCATACAAATAACGACAAATTGGTCCGAGTGCCTCTTCGCCGAGCGGCGGGGAGTGTGTTGCGCGACCAAGGCAGGCCAATGGAGCAAGCACAAATAAATAAAAGCAAAGAGCAAATACGAGTACAAAATGATAGCGATAAAAAAGAAAATCCATTTTCGAATATTCTTCGAGGCGAAAAAGTGTAAATTATACAGATGAAGCAAGGGCAATTGTCCAGAAGACCCGTCGTGGGAATGTGTGCTTATAATTCTACGTGGGTGTCTACGCACATACACACATATATATAGATACGTAGGCTGTGTTGTGAGTAGTGTAGTGTGTGTCCGAGCATGTGTTGAGGGCACGGCGGCCACAGAGCGCCTGCATTGTAGACGGTTGGGCACACAACGCCTCGCCGAGTATCCACACTTCTTATGCAAACAATGGTAA